TTTTTTTTTTTCCTAGCTAACTGGGCTCATTCTTTGTTGTGAAATTGAACTGAAATGGGTTTTGTGCTGAAATGGGTTTCTGTAACTTTTCAAGAAAATGATTATTATCAATCTTTCTGGACTAGAGAGTACAGTGTTGCAGCTTAATTTGGAAGAAATAGCTCTCTAGATTGCTGATTTTGGTCACCAAATTGGATTTACATCGATCGAATATGGTTTTCCTAGTTCTGTAATCGGCATATTGTTTGTCTGTGGCACTAGTGTTGTGTTAGGTTTCTGCATTTGAACTAGTTGTGGTTGTGGGTTCTCTTAATTATGGAGAAGAAAATAGTTCTAGACTTCAGAATGCTGAATTATACAAGTTTGTTGAATTCTAGGGGAATAAGTGTATTTGCAATAAGTGATGGTTATGGAGTCTAGTTTATTTCGGCATCTCAGTTTTTTTTGGTGGCATGTTCTTCTAAAGCAAATTGGAAGATGTTACCTGAGTAGCTTTTTTCAAGTCGAACATTGTAATTCATGTAATTAGTTCAATTATGTTGCACAAAAATGCTGAATGTCAGGAACAATGTGACGACTTTTTTCAGTAGCGCATTTGGGTTTCATCATTTAGCTATTGCTAATAACTGCAGTAACAAGAATTTTATTTGTAATTGTTCTTGCAGGACCTTTTCGAGATATTCGTTTCAAATTTCTGAATGATGTACTATTCAAAAGCATAGAGAAATGGGCAGTAAAATAGTGGTGACGTACAAGAGGAAGAGGCTTTTCTCGAGAAGTAACTATTCTCAAACAAATCTGCAACCTGATAGGCCTCCTGAGATCGCAGAGGTGAAAACCTCTGTTAGTTTGGACAATTATAAGGTGTCAACTGCTGAACATACATTGCCAAATAACAAAGAATTTTGGGTGAGGTTCCCTTATGAAATTATTTTGATAATTATAAAAACACATTGGCTTTCGGGGTCATCATGTCTTCTGTTACTATATGACATGTAAAAGTCCTGAACTCAGATATTGTAATTTTTCCAACTTTTTGTGTCTTTCACCCCCTGAAACTTTTCATTGAATGGCAGAATAATATTCTGATTATGACAAAATCCAACATATGGTTTTGATTGAAGTGAAGAAATGAAAATAGAAATGGAGCATTTAAATGGGGTATAAAATATAAAATGAAGAGGTTGTTTCTTTCAAAGTGATATGAATATGAGTGAGAATACTTCCTCATGGAAGTTTCGGGTTTAATCTTTCGTATCATGAAATGTGGTGATATTGAAGTTGACATGATACGTTATTTTTTTAACCCAACTTGTTCTTCACTTTGTTATTGTTGCTATTAGTTTATGTACTCAATCTGCTTTGAGCTTCTCTCAAATTTTCCTTCCATTTGCACCTGCTTATCTATGAAGCAAAAGGACCATGTATCCGAAACTATTTACTTCTAATGTTTAGCTGCAGTTTTTCGCTTATTATCTAATACTCAACTTATTTGCAGGCATGTCACGGACATTCCAAAGACAAAGATGGAGAAAACGTGCTGCAATGTAAAAATAGCAATTCCACGTGTTGCAGTCAATGTTCTAAGGTATTCCGCTTCCTCTTCCCTATTTTCGACCATACATTTGTGTGAGTCTGAACATTTTAGATTGTTGATGAACACAAAAGACCTCATATCTTTCTTATAACATGACACCTTTTTTATTTTTTATTTATTTGCGTACGAGCAGGCGAATGAATCTCAAAGGCTTTGCCCTGCATGTATGAAACAGCAAGATTCTTTACTTTCAAATCCAACTCCAGAACCTAATCTGGACACAGAACAAATACCGACTCATCTTGACGTTCCTTTGGAGGTATGTTCCAGAGATAGACATCTGCTTGATTCTGCTGTTCAACCTAAGGCTAAAGAAGAACCAGCTGATACGCAATCAGAATCACTTTTTCCAAAGTTGGATTTGGAATTTGATGATAACTGCAAGAGTGGATTTCCAAGTGAAGAGAATTGTAATCCAGTTTCTGGAATAGAATCAGGTGTCGTTCGTTTGGAAGCTTCTGATGGCATTAATTGTAGCCGTCAGACAAAGGCGACATCTTTGTCAGGAACACTTTCTTCAGAGGGAGCCAAACTCAATAAAGTTGAGTTATGCAGTAATTCAGTTACAAAGCGCAAGCTGGCCTCCTCATTGATTACATTTTGTCGAAGATTGAAGAAAAATAGGGATAATGCTGCAATCGATACTGTGTCCGTGTGCAGGGATAAATGTGTGTCTGTCAAATCACTCGCTGCAAGCTGCTCAGTTGAGCTGATGAATGAGAAGGTTAGTTTGATGAATCCTTCCATCTTCTTAATTATGAAAATGCACTTTAACTTTTTCTTATATATCTTTGATTTATTTTTCTCTTTGTTTTTTTTTCTAAAAAAGGAAAAAAGTGTATACACAATCTGAACTAGAATCTCAATTCTCACAAAATTTCTTATCCTTACACGGAATGAGATTGGATATCACATTTAGAATTACATATGATAGGCGACTCTTTTTACATGATATGAAAATATTATGATACGGGTTAGAATTAGAATTGGGTTGTCTCTAATAAAAATTCAGTCTCAAATTATCAGATTTAGGTGCCTAAATAAATGACACGGCTAATTCATAGTAATAGAACTCGGCTAAGTTTCCTATTTTTGCATTGAGTAGAAATTCTCGTTTACTTGTTACCTACTTATGCTGTTATTGTTTTCCTTCGTAAGTTTTTCGATTGATTGAATAGATTTTTAGTATAACCATTGAATCTTTCTGACGTTATTGTTTAATTGTAAATATAATTTTCAGATTGCAAATAAACCTATACAACCGGCATAAATAGATGAGTTATTTCACGTGTAACTTTATATAAGTTATTTCAGATGAGATTCAGGTCAGTGTGTAGAATTAGGCAGGTTATGGATTGTGAAGATATCGAGCACGCATAATAATTATTTGTATTTTCAGATTGACAGTTTTGTTCTGAATACTATTTAAGGGGCTAACCTACAAAACTGAACATGGCCCAGATTCCCACCCTTAGTCGAACATGTATATATGAATTAAAATCATAGTCCGAAGAATGTTTACAAGTTGGGTTGTTATGGAATCTATTGAATAGACGTGTGTGGAGTAGTCAAAATTGAAATATTCCTTTTCTAAGGGCTGCAATGTGCTTCGCTGTCAACATACTTTTTATAGCTTCTTATGTTTCTACATCGTGGCGGAAAATAGAACCTTTCTTTCGAATGTTTTTATCGTTGATATATGTCTGGAAAGTAAATCGACAAACGGAGATATCTTGGCCAACCACTTGAGAGCTACAAGGTCTCTAGCAGCCTATGGCTAACTATTTGAAGTTACATTTGCTCAAAAATCAGAAAATAATATTTTTACTACGATACTAATTATTGGGTAGCGTATTCTGGTATATAAGAACCACCTTATTTGGCCCATCCACATGATGATATGTCCAATAAGATTCCCTCCTTGCAGCTATATGCTTTTGGTCAGTCGAATGCCGTGAGAGCTAGTCATTTGCTTGTGTTATGCACATGAATTGTAAACTAGCACAGTAGAATTGCTATTTTAACCAAATTATACTGAAAACAAACTTTATTATCTCAAACCGACACTTCATTTCTGGTGCTTATGGTTTTACTTCCTGACAGAAACCCGCAGGTGAAACTGATAACTTCTGCTCCGCTTCGGGTCCAACAGCTGAAATGTATGTTTTGGTGAGCGGATCATGCAATTACATTACTTTCGAGATGCGAGCATTTGATGAAAATTTTCTTTTATTCCCAGTGCTATGCAAGTGGATAACCCGATGCATTCTCCATATGAGAAAGCCACAAACGGCCCAACTACCGTTGTACAAAATTTTCTAGACTTGTCGAATTTGGATGTGACTTCTAGAGGAATGCCTAGCAATATTCCAGGAATAAAAGGTTCCTCATCGTCGTTGGATTTATCGATTTCTCCACCTGGTAGGTATATAAATTGAGCGATTATTTACACAAACAACTCCTGATGGTTTGGTGTAATTTCAAGAAAAGAAGAAAAGAAAACAAAAGAAATATTTAATTGTCGAATTCCCTTGTCATTCGGTTCTGTGCTAAATTCTATTTATTTGTAAGTTGAGCAAACTGATTTTATTTTTTCCTTTTTTTTTTTTTTTAAATTTATCATATACTAATAGCTACCAATTTTGGCATCTTGCATCATCATATAGTGACAACACCTAAACTTTTCCTACATATGGACAATAACCAAACTGAAAATTTGGGCTATTTGCAATTTAAAGGGAAGTTCAGAGAGTAACTGTAAAGTGTAAACTACATGTTATTGACTGATTGATCAATTATTGGTTGGGGTAAAAGGCTTTTCTGGATTCAAACGTCAACGACTTGTCTCTAGCCTGAAGCTTTACCTGTTGTTTTTGTGAAACTTGCTGGCATTTTTTCAAGTTATCCCCAAAACAAGGATTTCGATAAGCCTTGAAATAGATTTCCACAATTCCAGCTAAATTTTACTGTTTCTCTTTTATCTGCTCCATTCCTCATTCCTATCAACTGCAATTATATTTATTGTACTTAAATTGTTTATGTTATGTGATTGTGGTACTGCAGTTTCTCGCGATATAGACTGTAACATACCACTCGACTGTGATTCGCATGAAAATTATCTACACGGACCTTTGGAAGATCTTCATGATTGTCTCGGCTCAAATAGGAATACATCAACTTCGCAAGTGACATCTGTCATCGACAAGGGAAAGTTTGTTGTAGAGTCCCTACCAGTGAAAAATATTCAGGTAATAAAAATTGCAGGAAACATTCTTGTTCTGTTATAATCATTAATACTATTCAAGTGTCTCTTACCTTGGTGAGTCCTCAGATTTTGCCTCATTGTATAAACAATATTTGGTATGCTTATTTCATTACAGCATGAATTTCGGTTATTCCCCGAGAACCCAACCAACATCACGCCCAACGTACTCCCGCCGAGCTTCCACTCCCCTTCCTTGCACGATTGGGCCCACTTTCAACCCCCTCACGAAACTCTCCTCCCGTCAATTTCCAACCACCCCACAAGCTCATTATCAAGTCACCTAATGATGCTCGACACCCTATTGGCTCGTGCGAGAGGCAAGTTTGACTTTCCGACCATATGGTCAGAGGATGAGCTCGACTGCCTTTGGGTGGGCGTAAGGAGACACGGCGTGAACAACTGGCCCGGCATCCTAATGGATCGAAAGCTGCATTTTTCGTCCTGGAAAACGGCCCGTGACCTGGCAGATAGGTGGCGGTACGAGCAGCACCGGCTTTTCCACGGCGGGCCTGTCTCCCAGGTGAGATTTTCGGGCCGCCCTGCAACGGGCTTCTCTGATGGGGTGCAAAACCCACTGCTACAGGAGTGTGGGGCCCGGAAGAGGCATTATGTGCATTATATGAACCTTCTGAAAAGACGGCAGTTTCAGAAAACCCCGGTTTATTCGAATGGGAATTTGCCGCACTGGCTGAGGGAGGCAGTCGAGCTCCCCCCAAGGACGTACGGCCCGACCCAGAATGTCACCTCCTCGTGGGTTTGCAATCCTAATGCGGAGCAACTGTATGAGAATACCAGAAATGACCCTGTTCTGAGGCAAGCCAATCAGCAGACAAGCAACAAGCCGGGCGATTTGATTGCCGTTTCAAGTGATGCCTCGTCTGAAGAGACGGTTTCGGATGACCATAGCATTAGGGTTTAGGTAGCTAGAAGTTAGACTTTGAGTTTTTTTTGCCCAGTGTTGTATCTTTGTTAGTTAGGTGAGTTTGTGGTTCTGGCCCTTCTGGGTAGTCTTGTTGTGAAATTAGACTGTTAAGTATGTCTGTTGTAACTGCTGGCAACTTTGTAATGTGACTCTGTCAACTTTCAGTGTCAAGATAAGGAGAATGGTGAACAATTTTGAAATTATGAAATCTTCATTGTACATTGAGTGTGGTGAGCAAGGTTATCAAAATCGCGACTACTCAAACTCACAAAATCGATTCTAAGTCGCTCAAAATCGCAAAGGACTGTAGAGTCGCTGCAGAATCGGTAGAATCAGTCAAAATCTTAAAATTGGACCGATTCTACGACTTTGACCGATTATGTGCCAAACTGAAATTAATGTACTAGAACTAGATTTTAAAATTGGGATGCGTTTGGGCACTTGGACTGTTTTTTTTTTTTAATTTTTTTTTACACAAATTGGCCTAAAGAAGCATAAAGATTCCCTACCATTGGCCCCATACAAACCAAATTAATTAAAAAAATTTAATAAAAATCCAAAAAATCTTAAAATCCTAATCCCTAATCTGCTCTTCCCGTCTTTTGTCGCGCAACTTCTTCACCTCCATCCCTCACCGGCCGACCGTCATATTCCAAGTCTCCGACGTTAAACTCAAATCCATCTCTCTCTTACTTCTTCTTCGACCTCCAATCCTCCACAGTTCACACGGTTGTAGCTTCCCACAGTCCGAACTCCGAGTCTCCGTCGTTAAAATGGCTCGGCCTCGACGCCTGCGTCTTCTTCGTCCGAGCAGTGATGGTGATGGTGATGGTGATTAGTTTGGTTATAAATTATGATTTGAACTTGTGTTTTTTTGTTTCACTAGTATGTTATTTCACTAGTAGTTTTAATACAGGTCTCGCACCCCGAACGGCTGGAAACTGTCTCGAGCTCGTTCTCCTCGCCGGTTGAACGCGGAACCTGCACGAAACTCTCACACCGGAGGTGTTTTCCGGTGAAGAGCCTCCAACGCTCAAGTCAGATCTTGAGAAAGATGAGAAAAATATATATAAGTGTATTGGAGTATTAGAGATTGTGATTAAAATGGGGATTCTCGTCCATATTTATAGGGACGAGTTACCTGTCCCTCACGCGCGACCTAGGCGAGTCTGGCTATCAGTCCTTCTGCTCGTCCGTACCACCGCGCGCCTCCACCATCTCTGGTGTCAGAAAAGGCGTCGCATATGTCAGAGTCTGTTATCGCCGTGGACCACTCGTAAAGCGCCGCGTGTCCTCCTCCCACGTGCTGGAGATCTGCTCATTTAGTCTAATGTTCGACCACATCTGTAGTGCATGCTGAGCTGTCCCTGAGGTATGAGGTGGTCGGATAAACGACCATGCCCTTTTGCCTCTCTTCTCTCAACCAACTCCTCTCGTAACCGGCACTTGTCTAACGCTGCTGGACCTGTTCTTCTTCGTCATCTGTCTCCTCTCCCTTATTGCGGATGCTCGCTTCACTTCGACCAGGCTGCTGATCTACTTTATTCGGTTAACCTAATAAACCGGTCCAGTATATAATATCCCATATCATCTAGTCCTCCCACTCTGGTCGAGTCTGAATGACTCGATCTAAGAGTAGGTTTTGCCTGTGCCCCAAGGTCCCACTCTGTTGCTTCGACTATCTGGTGTGTTTTTTGCCTTCTCTCGATCACCCTTCATAGTAAACACCGTCTTCCCCTTTTGAATTTTGAATTTCGCCACCTGTCCGCCTTTTCAGACGCGTCCTTTCGTTTGTCAGATGTCATTATTGCCCCGTGATTCGTGCCTTCTCAAACCTCGTACCTACTTTAGCGTTCTTTCCACGGTAGCCGTTAGATCTCCCATTTTGATCCTGCGGCTTATCTTCTTGCACATGTTCATCTGTCCTCTGATCGCAGCCCTTCACTCTTTATGATCCTACGGTTGACAATTCTCCATGTTCACTTTTCGTCCTTATAAATATCCACACTTAGGGAATTTTTCCTTTTCTTCACTTTCGCATTCCATCACACTAGAGCTTTCTGCAATTTTTGAGCATCTTGCAACCTCGAATTCTCCATCTTCTCTACAAGCTCTCCGTTGTTCGCCATGAGTAAGTCTCCCCAACTTTTCAATTTTTGTTTGTTAATTTTTAATTTTTGGGCTCCTCCCCTTTTCCTCGAACTTCTCAATTTTGGCCATGCCCTTTGTTCGCCTTCCCGCTGTGTTCTCCTCCGTTCTTCTTCCTCTCCCTTCTTCGCTTACTCTGTCCTTCGTTTTTGTTCTCTTCTTTGATTAATTATAAATTTTCTTTCTTTTTTCTCAGATTCTGCTACTTCGAGCGAGAACGATCGATACAGCGGGAAGGACATGACTCCCCCTTCTTCGTCTGAAACCCCTAGCCTATCGAGCGATTCTGTTCAAGAGATTCTCCAACCCATGCCCATTTCCATGATTCGACCTGCCGTCGTTGACGATAGCCTTACAGCCACTGCTGTCTCTCCCTCTACTTACCTTGTCGACCAACCAGAGGATGAGGTTACCAGCCGTCCTCCTTCTTCGCCCACCGAGCATACTCGTCGAATAATCGGTCAGGATGATGAGATCGAGGATGATGACGATCCCCAAGATCACGTCCCACTATCTGCTCGTGACCCCAAAGACTTTGTTCCTTTGTCCTTTCGCGCCCCTATCTCCTCGAACGCCCCCTCTTTCTCCCTAACATCCAAGCCATCTAAGTCGCCCAAGCCCTCCTCAAGTACTTCCCGTCTTGACTTCGCCTTGATTGGTCACCCCGGGGCTTTTTACACCCCTGGCGATGAGGATACTTACGACAATCCTCCTGCTAATTGTTATACCTTTTTTCGTACGCACTTCATGTGGGTTTACGCTTCCCTATCTGCCAGACGTTGATTGACCATTGTTATTTTGCTTCGAAACAAGCTGACGCCCTATATTTGAAGAGCCAGAATAACGCTTGCTTCATCACTGATCGACCATCTAATGTCCCAAGGTGGAAAGATCAGTTCGTATATATAAGCCCTCCACAACCTTATCCTTGGGCACCCATCCCGTGGCTTACAGAAATGCCCATTAAATATGTTCGCCCCTCGCCCAATCCAGTTTTCGACCGCCGCATATAAGTGTGGAACTCGAACCCTGTCGCCTCGACTCCTCTACTCAAAGATGATAACCTTCTCCACCATTGTGGTATTCTCACCCACAAAAAACTTTCCCCTCCTCTTGCCGAGACCATTCTCAAAATTCGCGTTGATCCTGCTCTTGTAGAAGCTAACCGAAAAGCTCGAGTAGGTGCTTGAATTGATGTTATTACATGTCTGCATTTTCTTATTCTAAATTATCGATTCGATTTCTATTAATCTGTATCTTATTTTTTGTAAAGGGATTTTTGCAAAAGCCCGACCTTAAGAAGTCCGCCGACAAGAGGTCTACTAACAAGGACGCCTCGGCTGCCACCGAGAAAGCCAAGGGGCCGTCCTCGACCAAGTACGTTTCCGCTTGAGCTGAGAAATCCAGAGCGTCCTCTCATTCGAGCAAGCAACGGGCTCATTCTCCTCCCTCTAGACAGGTCGAACACCCCCCAGCCATTCGGCTAAAGTAAGTGAGGTCTCTAGAAAGCGTGTTCAATCCGAGGTGGTCGGCCAGCAATCCACCGGGCCGACCACCTGCCGATATTCCGTATTCTCCCAAGCAATCCCATCTTGAGCTAAAATCTGTGGGCGATCACACTGTCCAGCACACTTCTTCGACCATCTCCCTTTCTTTGAAGTTGCTGCCGTTGCTGCAATGGAGCAGTCCCGTCGGGCCTTGTGGAGGACTCAACTTGGTCAAGCTTTCCTCAAAGCTTATCGAGAGCAGCTGATCCAAGATTATCTTTGCTCGACTGCGTTCCTCAAGGAGGCTGCTGGAATGGGGATGGACTTCTATACTTATAGTATGGAAGAGGTCGAGCGCCAGCTGAAGGAAATGGGGTTCATAGGCGAACTCGACCAGGACAAGACATGGGAGGCAATTCCTTCTGTGCCCTCTAATTTTGCCGGCGATCCTAGTTTACCCGCCGAGCACCCATTGTGGACAGAGTCCTTAGGGCGGACCTTGGCGAGGGATCCCTCCCTGAAGAGCTTCTTCGATGTGCCTAAGCCTGGCGAGACGTCCGTGGTTCGCCTCTCAGTGATTGTTCCTCTCCAGCCCTTAACTACTAATGCTCCTTCGTCTTCCTCTGGCCCGTCAACTTCAACCCTTGCTCAGTCTGCCGCTGTCTCCCTTCTTTCGACCACGACTGCACAGTCGACCACGGTGGGCCAGTCAGCTGCTGCTGCTTTCGCCCCAACTATGGCCGCATAGTCGTCCGCAGCGACTCAGCTGGGATTTGCTGCATTTGCTTCGTCAGTTGCAGGCGCACATCGACTGCTTCTGCCGTATCCTCGACCACGGCCGTCCAGTCAACTTCTGCGACGAAGTCGACCACGGCTGCCCAGTCGACTTCTGCGGCAGCAGTTGATGAAGCAGTCGTCATCAACTGCTGTCGCGCAATCGACCGCTGCTGCTCAATCTACCGCTGCCCCCGCGAAGTAGTTTAAGCATTGCTGATGTACTTTTATATTTTAGCATATTTTGTGGCCTTGTACTTTTCATTATATTGAATAGAAATTTGGCTCTCCTTTCCTCATTGTGTGCTTTATTCGACAACTTTCATTATGTTTCGCCCTTCGTGGCTGTAAGTAGAGTAATTCCTATGATATGTGAATCTTCATTTCCTCCTGATTTTCATAACTGTGATACACTTGAGTAAACTCGAATTATGTATATCCGATGTGGTCGACGTCGTTCTTGAGGCATAACTAATCTAGCGAAACAGTGTGATTTATCGTGGCATCTTTCAATTCTACATAAAACATGCATAATGTCGCATGGGACCAAGTACACATGATCGACCAGCCTCTGAGGGTCTCCGACCA